GCAGCTATGTAGGTATTCAGGCAAGCCAAAGAGAGATACATTGCTCATTGCTCAGGTTAGATCTGCAGTGATAAATGATGTGGATTCTGCTGTGGACATTTTGTTTTTGACTGAATATGTATGATTGTCTTGTTGTGAATATCAGGTATTAAAGGGATAGTTCACCCAAAATTGAAAATTCTGTCATTAATTACTCACCCTCATGTCATTCCAAACCCCATAAGACCTTCGTTCATCTTCGGAAAACAAATCTGAGAGCTTTCTGACTCTGCATAGACAGCAACACAATGCCCAGAAAGGTCGTAAGGACATTGTTAAATTAGTCCATGTGACATCAGTGGTTCAACCTTAATTTTATGAAGCTACAAGAATACTTTTTGTGTGCAAAGAAAACAAAAATAATGACTTTATTTAACGATTTCTATTGAAGTCAGTCTCTGCCGCATGTTCACGACAATACCATGATGCATGCGTGTGCATATGTGACCCTGGACCACAAAACCAGTCTTAATTCGCTGGGGTATATTTGTAGCAATAGCCCAAAATACATTGTATGGGTCAAAATGATTCTTTACAGATCTTCTTTATGAACCAAGAGCTTGTAACACTCCAACGAGAAAGGAAATATTGAAATCGCTTCATATGACCCCTTTAAAGATTAATTGATTTTCTCAATATTTTGATTTTTTTGCACCCTCAGATTCCAGATTTTCAAATAGTTGTATCTCGGCCAAATATTGTTCTATCATACATCAATGGAAAGCTTATTTATTCAGCTTTCAAATGATGTATAAATCTCAATTTCGAAAAATTGACCCTTATGACTGGTTTTGTGGTCCAGGGTCACATATATGGTGTAGTACTCTTATGAACGCGCTGACTGACACGGAAGAGAAGAAATTGTTGAATAAAGTCTTTATTTTTGTTTTCTTTGTGCACAAAAAGTATTCTCGTAGCTGCATAAAATTAAGTTTGAACCACTGATGTCACATAGACTATTTTAACGATGTCCTTACCACCTTTCTGGGCCTTGAATGTGGTAGTTGTGTTGTTGTCTATGCAGGGTCAGAAAGCTCTTGGATTTCATCAAAAATATCTTAATTTGTGCACATTACAGTTGAGCTACTGATGTGATATGGACTATTTTAATGATGTCCTTACTACCTTTCTGGGCCTTGAACGTGTCATTCCGTTGCTGTCTATGCTGAGTCAGAAAACTCTCAGTTTCAAATCTTAATTTGTGTTCCAAAGATGAATGAAGGTACATGTATACCTAGCAAGATTGCTTTTTGAGTTTCATCACGGCTGTGTTGATACTGGCTGTTGATGTTTAGACCAGCAGCGCAATTGCTAATGTGATACTGCTTTTATACAGTTCAATAAGCAAAAAATTTATATTAACTCACGTTTTAGACACAATACTCTTAGTGACTTTGTCTGTTTTTGCTCCACCCACAAAAGTTCCAAATAAAGCCACAGTAATTAGTTATTCAACACAGTTTTTGTGGCATTCCTGAATGAATCTTTGTGTTTGAACGAATCACTCATAACGAGTCACTCTTAAAGACTTTTGTTCCTAAATAAATATTTGTTTGAAAAGAAAAGGCTGAATGAATGATTCAGTGACCTTCTCATAAAGACAGTAACTTAATTCCTTCTTGAATTAATCAGTTTTTTTCCCCAACAAATTGGTCAATGAATGATTCACTTGTCACCACCTACTGGTGTAATGATGAAATCTGCAGAAAGATCCCACCACTAACACACAGGCTAAGTGAAACAAGCAATGAAAAGTCCTAGTACTGTTGGACTGTATATCAACAATCTTGGAAGGCAGCTCATTCAGTCAGATTGGAGAGTAAATCATTTGCATACATAATTATGAAGTTTGATTTTGGTTACAAAAAAAGAAGAGTGGTGTGTGTGTATATGAAATATAGTTATTGTAAAAAGCACTAAATTCTGAATCTAAATGTTATCTTTCTTTTCGTTACCTTTACTTTTATTGCAGCTGTTGATCCCAGCTGTACAGTAAATCTAGCGGTGCAGCTTCAGCCTCGTCAGAGTTCATGGGATTTGTGGTTGTTGTTGGATCCCTGTTCACAGCACAGAAAGTGCTAAAATTAGCTACGGAATGAAATGTCTCAGAAAAAGGAAAATTGGACTCAATTACTGGAGAATTCCTTATTCAGTCATGTTTTGACCTCTTCTGTGCCAGGAAAATATGAACGCCGTTTAGTAGCGGAGAGAGGAAAAAGAGAGCAGAAGGAGAATGTGTATGTTAGTCGGGGGCTCTGAGGGGAACGCTTGTTTCCAGTGGCATGAATCAACTCAAAATATTATGGATTGATTAGACCATATGCTTGGCTGTTTTAATACGTTTGACTTAGCACAGAAACAGATCTCACACATTTGGTGGCTTGCCAGCCCAACGCTGTGCCAGTGTTTATTTATTGCTTAGTGTTTATTAGAATTTCAGCTGTAAGAAAAGAATTAGAAAAACAAACAGGCATTTCAAGTAGCTTAGACATGCTTGCTGAAGACTGTCCTCCAAAATTATTCACTACTCAACTACACAACTGTACAGAACACTAATTATCTTCAGTTTGTTTGTAGGTTTAAATTCTATTAGATTATATTATTAAAATACCTTTTGTAAAAAGTCACTTTTTACTTATGTTGTACACCGTTCATTTTTTAAATGATTTTGAAACGTCTCTTATTCTCACTAAGGCTGCATTTATTTATTCGAAAACATACAGTAAAAACAGTAATATTATTAAGTATCATTACAGTTTAAAATGTTTTTATTTTTTATTTTAATATATATTAAATATATATCTGTGATTGCAAAGCTGAATTTTTTTTACCAGCCTTTACTCCAGTTTTCAGTGTCACGCTTCAGAACTCATTCCAAAATGCTGATTTAGTGCTCAAGAAACAGTTTTGCTTCTTAATATTTTTGTGGAAACTGTTACATTTTTCTCAGGATCCTTTTAAGAATATAAAGCATTTATGTACATTAGGACTCTTTTTGACACCTATTTGTTTGTTTTTTTAAACTGTAGTGCTTTTTTAAATGTCAGGTTATAAAATATAAGTGTAAAATGTTAACTCACTATCATATTGGGTAGCTGATATCAAATATTATCACATTTCTTATTTCTTCTCTTTAGAGAATGAGAAAATTTTTCACTTTTCAAAATTCTTTACTTCTTATTTATAGGCAAAAAAAGAAAAGTGAACACGCCAGCAAAAGTAGCAATAACTGTGAACTTTATATCAGTCATTATTTTGCTTTTTGTATCATGTCTGACTGTTTTAATGCAAAAGAGGCTCTGAAGCATAATTTGTGGGATGTTTTCCCACATATTTTTGCAAAGGGCCTGACAATGTTCACTGGCTGTCAAAAGCTTACGTTTCTGGACTAGAGTGACGTGTTGGCGCTGTTCTGGTGTAATCAGTCTACATTGGAGGTTGGATTATTCATCTGTTCTGTTGGCCATCTTCTTGGACTTAGATGAGAAGCCGATGCAGTGTCTTGCCATTTTGGTGCATGATATGGCCACTAAGCAATGATTCTTGTTCTTGCTGCAGCTGGTATTTTAGGCATTATGGAATGCACTGAAAATGACTATTGTGGACTTTCTTGCTGTGACATATGCTTTCATGGTATCAGCTTATCTGGCATTGTTTTGTATGGACATCTGTGGTTAAAAGTACATGTGACTGGCAAGTTGTCCTGTTGTAATTCAAGCTGTATTTTAAATGACTTAAAGGGATAGTTCAACCAAAACTGAAAATTCTGTCTCACCCTCATGTCTTTCCAAGCCTGAATGACTTTCTTTCCTCCATGGAGCTCAAACGGAGATGTTAGGTAAATAGTGTAAATGGTGACTGAGGCTGTCATTCTGCCTGACATCTTCTCTTGAGGTACATTCTCAAAAGTGTTTTTCTCATTCTATTTATGTTTATATGTGTACTAGTATGCTTTTGTGTTGAAGGGCAGATCTCTGGATGATTTTAGCTAAGGCAAATAGCAAAGTGCAGGGATGGGTAGATGAGATGGAAGAAGTAATTTTACTGTTATAATCATGTGATCCAGAGTAGTGCTTCCTCCTGAGTAATAGTGAAACCTGAGGTAATTTATTTGGCAAATTTCCTGAAAATTTTACCTATTTATTAATAATCCTGTACATGTTTGCATTTTTTATGTTGGTTTGTTTTAACCAAATGTCAAATGAAAAGACATTACTATGACAGATGCATATAGTATATATTTACACTAAATTTAAAACTGTATTTATTTTTTACAAAAGCTGTATGAATGTTATTCTGATATTATGAAGATTACATTCTGGTTTAAACTAAAACGCCATTAATGTACACTACCGTTCAAAAGTTTGGGGTCTACAAGATTAAACTAAAACTTGTATTCAACAAGGATGCATTAAATTGATCAACATTGACAGTAAAGACTTTTAAAATGGTTACAAACAATTTGTATTTTAAATAAATGCTGTTCTTTTGAATATTCTATTCATCAAAGAATTGTGAAATATGTATGACGAATTGAAATATGTATCATGGTCTACCGTGATATCTTAGTTAGAACCCCAAACAACGGTAGTGCAACATATTAGACAATAATTCTCTGCACCCTTCAGAGTGCTCACTTCAAGTGCTCTGTCCTTCGGAGTGAGTAGGGCACTTTTGAATGAATTCACCCCTAATCTCATTAGCTTGTAGTTGTTGTTGTTGAGTAAAGTATGCTCTTTACAGGTGAAGGTTGTCTGGGTTAATGTGCAGGACAGGACAATCTTCTGTGTCACTTGACACTGCACTGTAAATACTGATGCTGTAATGACATGAATGAGGAAACTCTTACTTTAATTTGCTTACTTTACAGCTGAAAGAAATAGACTACAATCTGATAGACAATTTAAATGATAAAAGCTGTGTCAGTAGTCAACATTTTTGTTGTATCCTTTCTGTTGCAGTGTTGTGAGTCTTGCCTATGAGAGACTCTTCCGTCAGCCTTTGGACTCCTACAGAGGGGAAGGGCCATGACTGCCAGTCAACGGACGGCAAGTGGACGGGACAGACCCGTCGACGCAGGTGTCACTGAAGATCCTGCTGGACATCAGATAGAGAGCGGACACTGCAGCCTCTTCGACGAGCAGTAAGACAGGAAGTCCATCATCAAGCCAGGTGTCAAACTGTTTAAGACCCGTCCCAATAAATGCCTTAAAGACACAGTACACTACATCTTTATGTAGAGGAACCTGCAGCAGGAGACTTCTTAAAAAAGCTTGACATGTTTTCATTTTCCTCTTTATGAGTGAATTGGTGTCTTACAAGAACAGATGTGAATATTTTCTTATAATAGAGAAATAATTGTTTGGGTGTAATATTGCCACTTGTTTTTTTGTGGTAGGCCTGGTGAAAGCTGTTAAATATAAGTGAAGGGAAAGTCTACTGTCTGTGGCAGCCTCTTCCATCTAGTTTTATCTCTTTTCATTTCTTAAACCAAAAGACTGCCAGCTGGAATGGAGAAATTCAGCGGCAGTGCTCAATGATGTCAGTCTGGACGGGTCACACATCCACAGTATGAATGCAGGGTCAAATCACATTCCCCTCAGCATCAGACTCATTGCTTTTGCTCAAAGCTTCAACAATCAAGAACAATCCGCTTTTAGATCATCGAAACCCTAAACGTATTTTAAGGAACGGATTCACCCCAAATTTCAGAAAATATGCTGATCATTTATTCACCCTTATCATGTTATTCCAAACCCATATGACTTTCCTTTTTCTGACAAATAGATTAGTGTTTTTTGTCCATACAGTGCAAGTCAATACGTTTGCATGGACCCAAATAATCCATTTTTAATCAGAAATGAAATCTAACTGCAAGTTCTATCAAACTGCAAGGTATGGTGTAGACCTGAAATAAATCAATGAACAGGAAAAAAAATAAGCACATAAACGTTTGAATCCAACTATTTTCTCAATCGGATTCAAAAATACCTTGTGAACAAACGAATGTTTACATATGTTTTACATCTTACGATAATGCATACGTTTAAGAGTCACGTCTTCCTGGTTAATGGAGGAGACTAATTATACAAAATATTTGCTAAAAATCTCTTCTGACATGTATGTCCACTTTTTCATTATTTGAATTGGATTGCAACATTTAGGGTTTATATAAACAGAACTTTCAGAATCTGAAATCTGACTGAAACTATTTCAATTGCTTCACAGAATAAAAGTAAGTCATTCAGGTTTGGAGCAACATTAGGCTGAGTAAATGATAGAACTTTTTTTAAAAATGTATTTTATGTAAACAGTCCCTTGAACACCCAGAGGCGTAAAACATCAGTAATAGTCTTTTGACTAATAGACCTATGTTTGGTGGCCTTGATGGTCTCTAAGGTGCAGATAAATGATGAAAGTTGAAATGTGGGTGCCATCAGGTTTGGTGGACAGCTGGTTATTAATTTGAGTTGGTGCATTACTGGACTGATGCCCAGCACTCAGATGGTGAGCTGAGTCTGCTTCTCTCTGCCTGCATCCACTTTACATATCAGAGTTTGGTTTATAAATATTAGCGATCAGTTCATCGCAACAGGAATAACACTACGCTGCTGTTGTGAACTGGGAATTTTGGTATTGCAGTTCAATTCACCCCTTTTGCAATACCCTCTATAAATAGTGCCCTCAAACAGAAGACTGCAAATTACAGTGCCACACACCGACAGCATGACAATAAAGCCACATATAAACAGATCTGCAAGACATATTCCCAGTTAACTAACACAACGATACTCTCTCTGAAATGACTGCCCCGCAATCCTCCCTGTCTCTCTCTCGTTTCATTTGTCTTTTGCTTTCCCTTCTTGCCTATCTGACATGCAACCAAGCATGCAGACTTATGCACACTGTTGTCTTCTCTTTCTCTGTCCCTTTCTTTGTCTGTCTGTCTGTCTGTCCTGTCGGAAGTACTCCAAATAGACGATGTGTGGGAATTTTAGGATAAACGTGTTCTGATCTTATAGAATATGAACACAATTTCTAGAATGAACCAGCTGCTTCGTTGTCATGGAAATACATTCAAGTAATCTGTATGCAAAGTTCTATGGAAGTGTACTATCTATTTTTTTAAATCTAGCCTTGAATATTATATAACCAAAGTCGAACCCTGAAAATCTCTGTTCTGTGTTTGGACCTCTTTTTATTTCTTGAAGAGATTTAGACCTAGTTAAAATAGATGCACTTGAAACACGACGTATGTACATAAGCAGATGTCTATTTTATTGTGTCCTCAAGGTCACACGTCATTTTAGGCAGATCTACTTTTTGACTGTTAGCCTTCTCGAGTCCCGGGCCCTGTTTTTCTCTCGTTCTCTTAATTCCTAATGGTTTTGTGCACCTCGTGGAAGCCGATCCTGCCGGTTGCAGACTCTCTCTCCTCAGCTCTCTCTTTTTTTAGCGTGTGTGTTAGTTAGTTGACTGGACTCTCTAGCAGAGGACCACTTGCCGAGTGCTTTTCATAAACTGAAGCCGAGATCATCAGGTGGATCAGCGCCATGAAGCAACTAAACATGGAGCATTGCGTCACGTCACATGTTGTAGATCTGCATGTGACTTTGATATGTAAATATGTGTTAGTGCTATTATGATGTCACCACGACATGTCGCTCTGTGCTCGACGCAGTGGATCAGAATGGTTTACATTGGAGAACAAAAGAATTCCTTAACATCCACAATGCGATGCGCATGGCTCTTTCATTACACACTGAGTCAACAGCCAAGAATTACCAGCCAACCGTGAGGAGACTTTGTTACCATGGAGATGCTCTGCCAGTGCTGACTGGTTAGCTAGCTTTGGAGGAAAAGGAAGCTTTTCCCTGTGAAAAAAAACCCAGGAGAATTACCTGCTAAACGAGATAGACCGTGTCAGCACATCCTCTCATTGATTCGATCGATTATTTTGTTCATATTCAACTTGCTGCGATTAAACAGTGGCTTATGCGGACTGATTTGCACAGGAATATGAAATGCAACAGAGAGAAATCTAAAAGCTCACTTATTAGATGCACACACAATATTATCTGAATTCTGTTTGACTGTTAGGGATGCGCTGAGAATAAGAATATAACAATAATTGTTTTTTTATGTCATGGCTTAGAAAATAAATGGCTCATATTAAAATTCTATGCTATTTTCTCTTTATAAATTTTAAAATTAAAAACTAAAATCAAATGTTTTTTAGGTGTTACAAGTGAATTTAGGCCTCACAAAATTGTAACAGAGTATATTCATATTAAGATTTGCTAAAAGTGACGTTTAACAGTGTTATTGAATTAGTGTTTTTAAAAACTTCAAGCGAGCGTTAGATGATGGCTAAGAGTATATAAATGTAAATATCGGCCGATATTGATCCAATACAGGGGTGTCCAATCCTGGTCCTGGAGGGCCAACGTCCTGCAGAGTTTAGCTCCAGTTTGTCCCAGCATACCTACCTGGAAGATTCTAGTAATGCTGAAAATCTTGATTACTTTAGTTCGGGTGTGATTAAATTGGGTTGGAACTAAACTCTGCAGGAGAGTGGCCTTCCAGGAGTGGGATTTGACACCCCAATCCAATTTATAAATTAAAAAAATCTCGAATATTGACCGATATATTGTGTATCCCTATTTGATTGCAAAACAGCCAGAATCCCTGCTACTGTGTGAGAGATATTGAGACAAAATGAAGAGAATCCTTAGAAATGCAACTTAAAATATAGCAATCATAGAATACCTGAGACCTTAGCACACCAATGTGATATTTGATGTACCGTATGAACAATAAAAAAAAAATCTTGTGGCTTTCATTACAGCATGGAATATATTGTACTTTGTGTACAAGTGACTGTCTGCTCATTGTTAATGAATTTCAGTGAGCTTGCATAAGTTCTTCAGAATCATTAGGCATTATTTTCACTTTTATAAAGTGTCGTAATGGACAGAGTTACCTGTGTACCGCTTTGCTGCTCACCCTTGTCTCCACACAGTAACAAAACCGCAGGAGAACATTGCTGACTGGAAGAGATCTCTTTCAATTACCAGATCACCTTACTTCTAGTGTCCGTCCTACAGCAATGTATGCAGCTACAGGTCACTAATACAAAAACAGGCAATCGCACGTCAGAAATATGAATCTAATATCAGATCTTTTTGGTAATCACAGGTGGACCTCTGTGTATTTCCGCTTCGATGAGAGGTGTGTTGCGTCAGCTTTTGTGCCTCCTAACAAGCATGCAGAGGGAGATGCGCTCGGTGAGTGTGTTCTTACGATGAACAATAAAGACGACAGGAAAGTGTATAGAATCACCGCCCTCAAAGAAGTAAATAAATAACCAGATGTTCCTCTATTCATGTGAGCTTTGGATGGGCTTGCCCTTTCTTTCTGCATGATGCTTTGGTTTTGAAAACTTGCATCCTGATTGACGATGTATTTGTGTTATTTATTTATTACTATGTTTTTTTTTTTTTTGTATATTGGAGACCCTGTATCATTTCATTCTTTCTTTCGGATTCTTTTTTTGGGGGTTAATTCATCAATCTTCTGGATTTTTCTACATGCATATCATTTTGTAGGCAGCAATATGAGATGTGATGGAAATGAAATTATGTGCAATGTTGAAAATGAAAAAAAAAACAAAAAACATAATATATTAAATAAAAACAAAGAAGGCCATTTTTTATATTTCCTCTGTGTGTGTGCATTTTTGAATGAATGGTTTTGGTTATCTAACTCTTCATTATGTTAGCAGTCATCCTGCTCTACTTCTGAGACTCAAATCTCCATTTGTGTGCGTGGCAGTTGATGTAGCATGAGTCTAACCAGTCCCTCGCCATGTGTTCGTGCCGTCTTCGACTGAGACCTGTGACCGAGGACAAAGAGTTTTGCCATTATGGGACATTTTCTGCTGCAAGGGCCCACAGAATTGTTTTTGACACCTGATCCTCCAGTCATCATGTACGGCAGCGTTTAAATATTTAACATGGAAGCTGCATGGAGCAATTACTAGACTCTTGGATTTGCTCCAGATTCAGTAGCCGAACTCCCACTGAAGACAGTGCACCCGAGCTCACACCCTGCAAACAAAATATCCATCCAGGGGTCACATGCCTACGCTCAAATGCAGCGATGTAAACACAATAACACTTGAATGCTGATGTGGTCCTTCCCCTTTTACACACATTCGCTTGTCCATACCAGTGCACCAAAATAAATGAGGTGTTAATTAGTCCCAGTCTTATCTGCTGCCGTTGTTTGACTTCAGGGAAAAGTCACCAGTGGCTGGAGGACGAAAGTCAACAGGTACTAGGGTACAGGTGACCTTTCTACTTTAATTATAGATCGTCTCTCTGTGGGTTTCTTTATTTACTGTAAACTGCAGAAGCTGACAATGAAAGAGACAGATTTGTCTTTGTGTGTTTGCATTCCACCTTGAAGGTCAGTGCCTCTGGGCTATGGCCACAGGGTGTAAATCAGAGCTTGGTGCTGATATTTATAGACGAGCGCCCATCATTGCTGTCTGTAAAACGGGTGAACTTGCCAGAGGACCCTGAAACAATCTGTGAGGTCTTCCCGTCTTCACTTACACTCCAGCTCGCAAACACTCGGCGCGTCTGCTTTGGCACGCTTATGTAACGTTTCCGACGTGGAATGTCAGCTGTCACATTCGCATTAGCTGTGTCCGAGCATGTTTGTTACCATTGGCCGGAACAGTCAGGGTGCATACGCTCATTTATGGCGACTGGCTCGCCCATGAGCTAGTCCCGTTTGGTCTGAGGAGAGCGATACTTTATGCATCACCCACATGCAAGGTCATTGAATGAAATAGGCCATGAATGTCCTTCTTGCTGGCTTTGAGTTGGGGCTTGTGGCTGTCTTCCAGGAATAGGCCACATCACTCAAAGGTGTAACATTAAACCTGACAC